TAGAAAAATGGGTTCCCATGATGAACGTTTACGGAACCCAACATTAGTTGTCGTGGTTTCCCATTGGGTAATCCGACGGAACCGAAAAACGGTTACCATGAATTTCTGAAATCCTCAGGCCTGCTCCTGAATTATTTAAATTTTTGCAGCATTTGTTTATAATTGTACGTATATGTTGTTTGTGGTAATATCATATGCAATTGAATAAGTAGACCATTTCGGAATTTGAAATTTGGGACTCTCTCAATGCATAATGGGACTCATACTTTTCTGATCAGTGAGTCCCTGGGACTCGCTGCAGGTGAACTGTAAAATGATCACTGTGAGATTACCGCTTTTTCTGCAGTCAGTGATTGACTTCTATGCAAAGTCATTTCTCAACTTGTGTTCCGTGCCATGTCATGCCTGTTGAGTGTTGATTTACTTCATATTAAGAAACTACTGCACTAAAACATTAATTCATAAATGTATATCATATGATTTTATTTCTTTTTCTCAGTATAAATAACACGTACCCTGACTGTTCTACTCTTTGAATAAAATCACTTCATTCAAGCGTTAGGGAGTGCAAAGGGTTATGATGGAGGGGTGTTGCAAATCATGAACACCTGCCAAGTGGTATGATAGCATTGTTTTATACATGTCCTCGGCTAGGCCTCAATTTCAAAATCAGTCCTTGGTCCTTGGCCTTGGCCTTGGAGGCAAGTCCTTGGTCCTTGGCCTTGGCCTCGGAAAATTTTTCAAGTCCTTGGCCTTGGCCTTGCCTCGGAAAATTTTCCAAGTCCTTGGCCTTGGCCTTGGCCTCGGAGGCAAGTCCTTGGCCTTGGCCTTGGCCTCGGGTTGCCGGTCCTTGGACACATCCCTGCTGTTTCTGCCAGAATCTCGACTGGCTGAATTCCAGGAAGCAAATGCTTGGCCGTTGTACCAGCCGAGGACAGACTTTGGTTTAAATCAAATAAGTGGCCTTCCAGGTTCTTTTAGTGTTCCGGTTTAAGTGTTTACATTTGAGCAAGGACAGAGCATCTACATGTCACTGTACTGGGCTTCAACACATCACGATCAGGGGAGATATACAGAATTACTCCTCATCTATAACACAAAATGAATTCCTGCATCACAAGATAGGAAGAACAGAAGATGTCTTGTTTTCCACAATCCAGTCACCGGGGTGATATGCGCGCCAAAGTAATAATGCTTTTGGAAGAAATCAACAGGGGAATAGAAATACATGTTATGTGCGTCGCACGATTCAGAGTTATCGTTTTTCATTCAGCTGTTCAATCAGAAGAATTAGGGGAAAAGTTCAGGAAATGAATATTTTCAGCATGATTCAATAATGTCTAACTGTTTGAGCTGCGGTGGCTTCCGCTTCAGGCCTGTCTGGGGCAAACGCACGTGTGTGTGTGTGTGTGTGTGTGTGTGGCAAGGATCGATTGTAATGTTTTCGAATGCAATTATTAGTATTGATTGGTTCCTCTTCGTCTTTCGCCTTTTCTCTTGCTCTTATGCTTTCAGCTGTTTGCCTCTGTCAAGCAAAGGAGAAATTACAAATGAATTGATCGATGCTGAGATCTCCCTTAGTTGACTCGGCTGTGGTGCGAGCTCATCTGAGGCAGCTTTTTATTTTTCATTTTGTGTATTTAAGAAATAAATAGAAGCAAATGTAGAGTTAGCATATCAGATTTTATTTGAGCAAAACTGGTTAAAGTAATCTTGAAATTGTGTGGGAATGCTGTCAAATTTGAATTGCTGAAGTGCTATGAAAATAAATTAATTTAGGGCTATACTACTGATTAAAACAAAACTATAGTTCCAAATATGTCCTTTTTTGGGGGCTGTGAGAGGAATAAGTATTATATCAGTGCGATCTCATGGGGTAATTTTTGAAAGTCCTCTGGGTGAGATGATTGTATCACTATATTTTTGCATTTATGATTATGATCTGACTTTGTACTTTTTAATGGGCTGTATACAAACAGACTCTGGAATGTCTACTTGCCTTTCAAGTGTGGAATTAAACAGTTCAAACTGCCCATTACTGTGAGTGAGTCTGCCTGCTGCTAATTTTCACAATAACCACACCAAACCCTGTCATGGTTAGCCTTTGCAAATTTTTCAGAGATTAGTGTTCGCTAAAAGCGTTAGCTTCTGATAAGTGGCATTCTGTATTGCGTGGTTAAGTTGTTGAATGTGCGATGGTGGGTATTTGTGTTTGGAGATGTGTCCATATGTTACATACACACAGTGTAAGTGTAGGAACTCCTGCATCCCTGAGTGAAAATGTTTTTGGTTGTCTTTTATGGTGCTCTGCTAGCTACACCCCCACTTGTCATAAGTCTATACTTCCCATTAGTCGAGCAGTAGAAGGAGCCCAAATTGGGAGGGGGGGATTGGAACGGATTAGAGCATTTACATGCAAAATGCGTCTCTACTTACAAAATGTTCTAGTTAAGAAATTTCTTCCAGAACCAATTACAGTAATTTCATAATTAGAGGTTTCACTGTACAAGAAACAGGATGTGAAAAGTGTCCTATAATGTTTGAGGTGTTGTCCAAAATAACCCAAAGATATACTGTAACGATGAAAAAAATATATGCTGTCAACCACGGCTGCAGTTCATCAAAATTGAGCTGCTGCAGTGTTTTTTTTTTTTGTTTGTTTGTTTTTCCGGGAGCTTAACACCCCATCTATTCACATAATCCTTTTTGCCGCTTGCATATCCCATAATTTTTCTCGACCTGAATTTCTCTACTTTCTATTAATATTCAATCGTTTCATCCTTTATCGCTCTATTCCATTCTCACCTTCTGTGCCCTTTCACGGTGCACACATTATTTATTCAACACTTCCTTCATCTTTCCCATTTATAGACCTCCACCTGGCTGCAGAGCTGGGAAAAACATTGCTGGAGAGGAACAAGGAGCTGGAGGATTCGTTGCAGCAGATGTACATAACCAATGAAGAGCAAGTGCATGAAATTGAGGTAGGTGAGATAGCGATACTGGCAACTCTGTCTTCATTCATAGGGTCACTGCCCTACCAGGGGGCGAGTCCCCCAAATCCTCCCACCCCCCAAGTATCCATCCATTTTAGTGCTTATCTTCTTTAGCGTCGCGGGTGATGCGGAGACTCAACTGACTTAGGGAGAGAGGCTGAGTAGTAAATCCTGGACAAAGCGCCAGCCAATTATAGTGTTACGCTATGGAAGCGGTTGGACCCCAAAGCAGGAAGAGGTCGGCATGTTTGAACACTCCAAATTGTCTATGGGTGTGAGTGTGAGTGCGGATGGTTGTTCGTCTGTGTGTGAACAAAGGTTTTCATCGACAAATACTCATACTAAAGTTTTAATCTAGTTTTAGTTCCAAATAGACATCCAAGGTTCCCACCCAATAACAATGAATTTCTGATCTATTTAGGATTATGGAATACACACAGATAAAGTGATAACAATGGGAATCAAAATAAGCCAAGAACCAAAACATTTTCTTGGCATTTGTTGTGGCTTTATTTCTGTGAACCAATGTGCTCCAGTGCAATGAATGTACACACGCCCAAAATATGAGCAATCAATGATTAAACTATTGTAATACTGTGAAGGTTTTTGCACATCTTAGATTAATTTTGAAATTCCACCCCAAAGTCATTTATCCCTAACTGTTTGTGAATCATGTGTACGTCAGCTGAAATCATGTCCATCACCACAGGGACAGGAATCTGAAAAAAGAAAAAAAAAAAAGCAATAATATATACAGCAATAAGCAGTACGCAAATCAGCAAGAATATGTGTGTTTATGTGTTTCTCACCCAGTACCTGTCAAAACAACTGGAAGTCCTTCGAGACATGAATGAACAGCACGCCAAAGTTTACGAGCAACTGGATGGCACCGCAAGAGAGCTTGAACACACCAACCAAACACTCGTGATTGACAGCAAGGCCTCACAGCAAAAGATAGAGAGGTAAAAACCTCCGCTCTCGCTCAAATGTGGCGCCATTTTGCTAAAAAAAAACAAAACAAACAAATAAAAAAATTGTCCTGCCTTTTGGATCAGGTTAACGGGGACAATTGAGACGTTGCAGAATCAGGTGGAGTCCCTTTCGGGCCAGGTGGAGCAGTTGCGGTCTGTGGAACAGCTGAGAGTCAAAAGGGAAAAGAGGGAACGACGCAAGACCATCCACTCCTTCCCTTGTTTGAGGGAACTTTGCACAGCACCCAGGTATGGTGGTCCCGCTGCTGTCTGGTGATTCCTGACAACATAAATCTTGACTTGTCCCTGATCAGTGAATCAGCCCTCACCCCGTCCTACGTACTGCTCGGCCAATGGAGAGTCCGACTTTTGTGACAAGGCACTCGTAAGCGGGCCGACCCATGTTGGGCGATCTCTGATTCTGCCTCACTCAGAGGCCATCTGCTTGCTTCTACTTGTGGAAGACAAGCCCAGAGTGTGGAAAACATGCTCACGCCCTTAAAAAGAATGAACGCATACTCAGCGATACTTAGTAATCACTTTAAAACACCCATGGCCGGGAACAAAGTTTTAGACACAGATAAAAATCCCAAATAATACAGATGATACAATTTAACGTAAAAGAGTGTGCGTGTGGCGCACATGCACATTGTAAACACACCCTGCAGCTCCACTGCATTGACAAATTCAACAAGCAATCTATCAGAAGCTAACAATATTAGCCAACACTAACCTGCGCATCCAACCAAACTCGCTGCAGTTCTACTTACTGTGCACAAAGCCACTCCAATCCGGCCCGCGGGCCGTAGTTTGGGGACAGCTGTTGTATAGTGAGTGGTATGTGACTCAACTATTTCAGAGCAAGCAGCAGCAGTTTGGCAGATAACATGAGTAGATATCCTTCAAAAAACAGACTACGTGCTACTTTTAGCCACTTTAGCTAACTGTCAAACTAAAGACAAAACAAAAACAATTAAATATATATTTAAAACAACGACAAAGTGTCAGCTAGCCTAATGATATTATACAGTGAGAAAAACCATTGGCACACATGCTAACAATTAGCATCTATGTATGAAAGTCATTTCCAAATGAATACATTTTGTTGAAACTTTATTTGCAAATTCATCATTGTTGTTTATCTCATAAGGCATTCTGAGGAGTGACTTAACATGGTTACATGCTGTTGTTTTTAGCAATCGTTGTGGTCTGTTAGTAGCAATGAGCTCCTCCGTTCAGCTTTTTCAATTTGAACTAGAGTGCGGTCAAAGAAATGAGAAAAGTGAGGAAGGAGCCCGTGATTAAAATTGAGAACAGTGACTCGAGGAAGCTATCGTTACTGTATTTTCCGCACTATACAGCGCTTCAGAGTATAAGCCGCACCTTCGATGAATGGCCTATTTTAAACTGTTTTCATATGTAGGATGCACTGCACGAATAATTTCATTCATTTAAATGGAAAACGTGATTCTCCCCGCTGTTCCAAAAGAGTAACTTGCCCAAAATAGGCAGATGAAGGATTAACATCTTTAATTTTACACTTGATGGGTTGACAAGCACTCCAGAGACTCAAACCAAGCAATTCCCCTCAAATATTTCCCCTTCAAAGCTTAGTTTTGTAATTGTCTCAGGTACGAGGATGAATTTGTGGTGGGCAGGGCTGAAAGCTTTACTTTGGAGCCGAAGCGTCAGCCATTCGAAGAGGAGAACAAGCACCTGAGAGAGGCGGTGTCAGCTCTGCGAGCGGCCATCTGGACGGAGCGGGGCCGCCGAGAGTGTGTGGAGAAGGAATGCAACCTTCTCCTTGCAGACTTCTCCCGCCTGCAAACACGCGTGCAGGTGATTGTTGCGCTATTTCTTTACGATGAGTCACCAATTTACAATGTGATTTTATGTTTTTTATCCAAGGATGCCGAGCGTTGCCAGGCAAGGGTACGGGAGTTGGAGGTGGAGCTGCAGGAGCTACAGCAGCTACGCCGCACTCGGACTTTCCTTCTTGGAAACGAAGATGACGGCGTAACTCTGACCCAGACCGTCCTCAATAGCACCCCGGAGACCGACACCTTCCTGGAGGGAGATGTTGGCGATACAGGAGGGGGTGTTAGGGAGAAGGCGGAAGGGGGCACCGGTGTGGACGGGGATGCTCTCCCCGAGTCAAACCCAGTAAGGAAAAGCTGTAGCGACACGGCACTCAACGTCATCGTCGCCCGGGATGCGTCTGGCCGCAGGAGAGGAAGCTACGCACTTCACGCCAACAGTGTGAGGAAGAGAGGGATGTCCATCCTTAGGGAGGTCGATGAGCAGTACCACGCATTACTGGAAAAATACGAGGAGCTGCTGGGAAAATGCAGGCGCCACGAAGAAAGCCTTTGCCACGCGGGTGTGCAGACATCCAGACCTGTTTCCCGAGATCCTTCCATGAAAGACTGTGCTGTGGGCCACGTCCCTGCACCTCCGCCGACCCCGACTCAGTCCCCCTCCACACCAGAAGCCATCGAGATGATCGGCAAGCAAGTGGACGCAGTGGATAAGCGTCTGGGACAGAACGCTCCAGAGTACAAAGCGCTCTTCAAGGAGATATTCTCTCGGATCCAGAAGACCAAGATGGATATTAAAGCTTCCAAATCTACAAAATCCAGCAAATCTAGCAAATCCAGTAAATAGTGACGTGTCTCGTTATACAGGACAGTTGTAGTACAATATCAATGTTTAGTGCTTCTGCGCTGTGAAACATCCACAAAGCACCACTTCATATTGTCATACTTTATTTTCTGCACTATTAGGTGCTTCGGATTATAAGGCGCACCCTCAATGAATGTCCTATTTCAAAACTGTGTTCATATATAGGGCGCACTGCATTATAAGGCGCATCAAATAGAAGCTCCAATAACGGCTGCTTGCAGTTGTGCTATGCATCCACTAGATGGAACTGTGCTAAAGAGAATACAATACAATATAGCTTTATTTATATAGAGCCAATCCATGCATAACTGGTCACAAACACAGACATGAAAACACAAATGGCATTACAAAACAATACATGAAAGACAAAAGTTATGAAGACAATTGATTCAACAAAAAGGCACACAAACCTCGTGAGCTCCTATCCACAAGGGGCTAAATATCCGTAGAAGTCTTGCTTGTCTCCTTCTTCTTTCGTTTCGTCAGTAGTTAACTATGCTTGGCGTATTATCTTTGTTTCATAATGGCTGTGCAGAGCTCACGAAGTAGTTGTCTGTTGGAGTGTGTGTTGGCAAATGCAGATGTAAATTAGTGTCGGGCAGAACCCTGTTAGGTTACAGTTGGTTCCTGTTAATAATCACCACTAGATGGCATTGGAACACTTAACAGGGAAACAACTCAATGAGGACTATAAAGAGACTCTTAACTAACACCATTTATAAGGCGCATCGGATTATAGGGCACACTTTTCTGAAAATGTAATGCTTTTAGGTGCGCCTTATAGTGCGGAAAATACGATACTCATCCATCCATTATCCAAATCGCTTGCCCTCGTGAGGGTTGCAGATGATGGAGCCTATCTCAGTTTACTTTTGGCGAGAGCCGGGGTCGACCCTGGATAGGGTGCCAGTCAATCGCCGGGCACGTACAGATAAACAATTCAAACTCACATTCACACCAATGGACAATTTACAGTCTTCAATTAAAGGGGAAGTCACATCAAAAATGCTCTCAACATGACTGAATGACTCAATTTGACTGAAAAGAAATTCCTTTAAAAAAAGGGAAAAAATAGTGAAGCACTTCGTTTGTTATTGTTAGCAGACGATTATAATGAAATACGAATAGGCAACAAAAAAATTGGACAATTGGACAATTTGCATTTTGTTCCCATAGCCACTCAAATGGCAAAAACACGGGTGATCCTCAATCTATATTTAATCTGAATTTGCACCGAAAAATGAATGTGCTGTTAATTAGCCCGTGACACTCCTCGTTTTGCTCAGTGCATCCCAAAATTGAGTGAGTAAAACAAATTAAATTGTTTTGCATACTCGTGCCACCTAATAAGTACAATAGTTAAAAGGGAAAACCAGGAATAAACAACATTAAATACACATCCACATTCACGTTCACGACTCTACTGTCACGAACCTACATTAACCCTTTCATGCATCCTGTAACCTGATAACATGGTAAGCTGTCCACAGTAGTAACCACTGTCCCTGATGGGGTTAATGCAGTAGTAAAGTTAACAATTGCAGTAAATATTTGTTTGAAAGTCACTTCTGAAGTATAAAACGATCAAATGGAAAACGGTAAGCTTAGCGGTAACTGAGCATGCCTTCTAGTGCCGCGCGATGATGTATTCCATCTTCAAAATAACCTGAACTGAGGCTCCCCCATATCCTGTAGTACACGAGAACATGAAAGCTCACCACTATATACTGTAACTGACGTGAATACATGTGGAAATATCAGTGATATGTTAAACCATGTTGTATTTGAAAAAAAAAATGGAATCGCTCAACATTTTTGGAAAAATAACATTGGTTCATGTTGAGCATACGGTGCTAGTTTTCCCATTACTTTTATTATTTGTTTATTTTTTGTATGAATAAAATTACTTGTTTTACATCTCAATTTTTCTTTGTGGGAGTTGAATGGAAATAACGATAGCACTATCAGAATGTTTAATGTCAAGTTCTTACGAGTGGCCGGTGAACCATATTTACTGTGCAGGTTGGTCGTGAACACATTTAATCTTTGCTCAAGTAATGTTGTGACTTTTGCCTTGTCCCTTTTGGGTCGCCACTAATAGAAACATAGTGATTTGTTTGGGGCAATAAAAAAAAAAAAAAAAGAATCATGCGGTGTCATAACATCTTTTGACATGATTTTATTCTAAAAACATATTTGATAAGAGGCATGTTGAAGCCAGCGGTTTGTCCTACACTTTCAGCCTACCCGACTAACTAACCTTGAAAAACCTTTTCATGAATTAAATGCCTTTTTGGGATCACGATTGCCTGCGTCTAGTTTAAAGCTTTACTTTAATGAATGTTTGTACCATGTTGAACACAAAACCAAGCCTGAAAGCATTGTACTTGGCTCAGGCACATCGTATGTGACACCCACAACATGAAGTTGTGAAGGACAGAATTTTGTTTTCATGAATTCTGGTGAGAAAATCAGAGCATATGAAAATCCCTCACTCAATAAAATAGGATAACTGTGATGCATCAAGTGCATTTGAAATAAACTGTTAACCCAGTTAGAATGCCCAACTACCAGCTTTTATCAATGTTTTTGTTTCATCTGATGCATTTGGAATTGTTTTGTGCCTCTTTGCTTGTGGAAGTGTACTTATTTTATGAGTGTATTTATTTCCTACTAATACAATGTCATACCATACTGCTAATACTGCTTTATGTTTACTACCCATTTAATCAAGTGGTGTATTACTATTATTGAGACTCATTTTAGATTTGTCTTGTCAGCTTCATACCACTGTCTCAACAATGACCTATGATAATAAAGCCTTACACTGCATTCATGGTTTGTTAATGTGTTGCATTTGGTATTTGCGTATTGCATGAAGACACATCATTCATAACCCTCCTATTATCTTGGGGGTGAATTTGCCTCTATGAAATGATTGACATCATTTTCCTTTTCCTTTGTTGGGTCAAATGACCTCATTACCATGTGGTTAAAATAACAGTAAATTAAGTTATGATTTATTTCAAGCCTGTCCTGTCCAGTGCACAATGTTGTATGTAATTATCCAGTCGTTCCGATTAATTTAGATTTCAAAAAACAACCCACAAAAAATTGTGGATTAATTCAAGCATGAAAACGTTAGTAAACTTGAAGGTAAAAGGAATGTCGCTAATTTAATAAAATACACGAATCTATAATTCAAAACAATTATTTTATCAATTCAAAATAACGTCAATACTGTATACAGTACTTTGGGACGAAACAATTAAACTTCATTGAAACGAGTTCGGTCCACATGAATCGAAGCTGACGTGTGGCTCAGACGCCTTCAACTTTAAATAATGAGTACATGACCGCGCACAACTTTTTGTTTAATCAATTTGCCAATCCACACTGCTTCAGTCTGACCAAACTGGACAAACGACGCCAAAATACGATCACAAGACGGCGCGATATGCACCGTTAAAGCACTGGTAGTATACTGTACTGCGTACGTACTGTTCAATGTTAGCTTAAAGTAGCCGCTGAGAAACATTGCTATACTGTATTGTTATTTCACACAGGTTTGGGTTAAGAATGCTACGTGAATTCGCCACCGTACGCGTTTTATCCATTTATCCAGACAGTATTGTCAAATGCTAATACTTTTACAATAATTTTCGTGCACCGGAGAATTAATGTTTAGTACATTTGGGTTACTTAAAGTTGGATACGTCGTGCGACCGCGTGGCCTAATGGATAAGGCGTCTGACTTCGGATCAGAAGATTGAGGGTTCGAGTCCCTTCGTGGTCGGCTTTTTTTTTTTTCTTTTCAATACTGTATACATTTTTTGGGGTCATTGAAAATTCTTAAACTGCTTGAACGTACTTTCAGCGCCCGAAATTAACGTCGTCGGCCAGTTCAATTTAAGCAAAATTTTCCTCGTAATTTATATTATAAACTTTTGTGAACACAATGTGGTGTCGGAGCAGAGTGGCGCAGCGGAAGCGTGCTGGGCCCATAACCCAGAGGTCGATGGATCGAAACCATCCTCTGCTAACCGGTCCTTTTTTTTTTTCCGATGGAAAACGTTTATACGATTCAGGTGGAATTTAGGGTGGTATGAACATACAACTACTTTTATTATCCCGTTGTTCATGAATAACATTTTTGAGAAATGTTAAAGGCAGCACACGGAAATCCAGTAAAGCAGTAATTCATGACATTAAAAAACAAACAAACAAACAAATAAAAACACGGTTGTGTGAATACTACTCCAGTTTCTGGTCCCGTTGGCAAATGTTTTGCGAATGTCTATTATTAACAAGTCATCACCTGATGAAGAGTTGGCGGTAGGTAGCAGATATCAGTGACATGCAGTGTTGGGGAAGTTACTTCCAAAATGTAATAGATTTCATATTAATAGCTATTTGCATTTGAAAGGAATACATTTCTTTACAATATTACCATCTGTGCAGAGTAATAAATTACTCTAAATTAGTTTATTTTTTTTTAAATCTGGGATTAATAGATTTAATATTCATTTAACTTGTCATGACAATCTTCAACTATATATGGGGTGTAATGTGAAATGTTTCGACTCTGTGGTGGGTGGGAGTTCACTGCCTTTGATTAATATTTATATTGTTGGGGGAAGAGTGGCCTCCTCTTCCCCGTGTCTTCGTTGAATTTCGGACGAGGAGAATGTTGGTAATCCAAATAAAGACTGGAGGCGATGTACAGTTCCTTCGAAGGGTTTTAATTTATTTTCTGCAGTTTACGAATCGATTCGGGCTCCTGAGGGGTCCAGATTTGAATCAGGAAGCCTAGAAGAAACACATTCATGAGATTATATAGAGACAATATGATAATGAGAGGCGGTTAGGTACGCCTCTCATGCAAATCCCGGAAACAAAGAAAGTAACATGACATCTGACCCGGTGTGGCTGGAAGAAGTTGGGAGTGGTGAGGTGAGACCAAACCACCACTACCCATCGTTTGGTGTGATGGCAAGTTCCAGAACCCCCGCTCTGCATACATCCTGAGATAAGAGGTCTTCCCAGGGGGGCTTAACAG